TGACTAATTTTATAGACACTACTGGCCCCATGGATGTACTAATCTAGCCTTTCAGAAGGTGAATTATTTTGTTTACTTATAAATGATGAAATAATAACTTTATTTGTTAACGAGACAAATGAATATGCTAGTCAAGTGAAAGAAAGAGCAAGCAAATGCTGGTGTCTACTCGTATATAAACACATGGCAACATGTCACTTTTTTGATGAAATGAAATCCTTCTTAGCCATTTTGCTTCTTATTGCACCTCAGAACTCCACAAGGAGTAATAAAAGTTAAAGTATGTTAAATTGTTACTGCATTTGTTTTTTTATTTTGTTTCAGTTTTTGTTTGTTTTCAACGTCAAAACATGTATGCATTACATCAAAATATTAGTCATCCATTCTTTTATTAGTATACAAAAAATAAAATCTATACACATAATGCAAAGAAAGTAATAACATTTTTAAAATGGTAAGTGTTCATGTTTTTTTCACCATCAAAAAATGCAGTGAAAGAGGGAACAATTCTAGAAAGAATTTAGTTGGGTAAAGTAAAATATAGTATTAAATAGCTTAACACTTATGTTCTGTATTGGTTACGTTTAGTAGTGGAATTTTGCTGACTACTTGTCAGTCAAGGAGAGGAAGGAGTAAATGAGAAAACTTTCTAATCCTAGCAGTTTCACACTCTTGTGTTTGCAAGCTACAAAGCAAAAATCATTGCTGAAAACTTTGGAAGAAACTCTTTTACCAGGAAATTTCACCTTCTTGCTAATGGCATATTTGTTAATTCATGGGTCACTGAAAAACATCCCAGACCACTACATTTTCCTTCTTTTTGCAAGACATGTAACTATCAACTATATTGTATTTCTTTCCTTAAACATTAACTTGAACTTATTCTCACTCCACACACACACAAAATGTTACACATATCTGTCTGTAATTCCTTTTGTTGGTTTGTTTTTTTCTTAAAATTTCCCTGGAGAGTTTTCTTCCTATTTTGGATTCTTGTTTTTGAATTTTCTAATCAAACATTTCTTGCCTTTTTGCCAGGCTGGTAAAAGGAAAGAGTCAATTTAAGATATGAATTGGAAGGGCAAAAAGGATTAAAATTATGAATAACGTATAAACGGAGAGAAGGAAGAAAAGACAGACCTGAGAAGAATGACTTTATTGGTTTGGGGGAAAAGATATTATCAAAGGGGCCATCTGGAAGATTTAAACCCTCATGGGTTTAAATCTTCCAGATGGCCCGTTTGAGGAGAAATAGTAAAAAACATTCGGGGTCAGTTGAGAATTTTGGAAACTAAACAGAAATGTAGAAATTGATTTATGTCCGCATACTAAAGAAAAAGTTATGAAAACATGTCTTCTGATTGCCAAATAAAAGAAGAGATCAATTGTGTTATAATATATGGTAAATTTGAAGATGAAAGCAGAATCGAGAAACTGATTTATGCCTGTCTGTCAAAGAGTGGAAATGTAAGAAATTGAGAAATAAGATCTATTAAGAAACAGACTTGTAAGGTTCATAAGTACGATTAAGCAAACAAGATAAGACAAATACTGCTATTAGTGGGTTAAAAAAGAGATGGTAAATCTCTAATTGTATAAACAAAACTAGGGGCTGAGAAATAATTGTTGTTGAAAATTTAAGATAATTATAATTAATGACTATGTTAAGACCACCTTTTTGCCTACATGGTTTAAAAATCAGATTTGTCAAAAACACAGCCAATATGTCAGGCTTAGATGAGACACTAGGAGAGATGGAGAAATTACCTATGCCCATTTGGAAGTAATGGTGCAAGGTATAAATAAGAGAAAGAAGAAGGGATCTCCCAAATTTGGAGAGATAGATAATATTATGAACCAGACAACAAAGAAATCTTGTTCAAATTGATACAGAAACCTCCAAATTCGCAAACACCATCAGCCCACACTCCAATTTTGAGTCCTAGTCATTATAAGCAAAACACTTGAGCAACCCAGGCAGAGGGAAAGAGACAAGACAGTGGTTGACAAAAGTGCTACTGAGATCCACGTGACTTGCTGCCAAGAGAATTCCCAACTTTGAGCCCTGTTCCAAGAATTAGCACCAATAGACAAAGTGTCACTACAGAGATTTTAGTGGTAAGAGTTCATTTTTGTTATACCAAGAACTACATATACCAAATCGAAAATTAACCTGAAGAAATTTTTCATTTTTATTTCATCTATGAAGATATTTCTTTTTGTCCTATCATAGCACAGCTCACCATGGTTTAAATCAATGCTATGATTACTGACGATAATTAATCCCTACCAGCTCTGTGATCAAGAAACACAATGTGGGCAGAGCAAGGTGTGATTCAACAACTGTTGACCTGCAATAGTATGGAACAGTGTAGGATTGACCCCGCAATCAACTTGTCCTATGACCCTGAGGATCATGACATCTTCTGGTATAGGCAGCATCTGGCAAGGGCCAGATTGTCTGGTCACTGATGACCAGGCTGACCTAGGATTGACGACCAGGGTGCATTGTTATAGCTTTGTTGCAGTTTCTGGCTGTCACGTTTATTTGGTCTTTACTCATTCAATATATAAGCAGGTGGTTGTTCACCAAATGTACAGTGAACCACTTCAGTTTCTGCTGTAATTAAATGACTCACTGAAACCATGTTCCAAAGACTAAATGAAAAAAAAAAAAAAAGCTGTAACTCTGAGTAAATAATTACAAACCTCCTAACATTTATATAGACAAAAATGCTTATAAAAATGAGAAATAGCAAGACGTGGAAGTCACAAAACAAATGTTATTTATTATCTGGTTGTTATGTGGTGTTGGAGATATGAGAGAGAGTAATCCTGAATAAAATTGTGAATTTGGGTCAAGTGTAGATCAAATATGGATTGGAATCCAACAGAATAAGATATTGCATAAATAAAGTGTATACAGTCTTTCTCGTATGTTTTTTTTTTTTTTTTATAGATATGTGCAATGAGTATCCAGAATTTTAACTTAGTCAGAAAATACAAACAGTGTTTGGGGTTTTCTTACCTCAAATTTTTGAGTGCTAATACATATATGTTACTATTATGGCATGAAAAAGGAAAAGGAGCCAAAACTTTTGTTGACCCACACATTGACTCCCTGTTCGATAGTTTGTGTGTGTAGAAGAGAAAAGTGAGGTTTATTCTCATTGGTTTAGAAAGAATGAATTAATGATAATTATAAATATTTTTGACATGGTAATTAATTTATATTTATTTTTATGAACAAAACACAGTGACAGTATAATTAATTTTTTATTTATGTATTTCTTTATAGACACGACAAGCTTCTTATATGACTGAAGAATATTATAGCCATAAACTCAGAATATCCTGGTTGGATGTGCAAATTTTATATGGATTAATGTTTTTCCTGGTGCCATATGTATTCAGTTTAGATACACAACACTTTCTTCAGTAAATGAGCTATTCCAAGCAGTGCTGCCACCTGTATGCTCTCAATAATGTCAGATTCCTGGAAATAATCCTGAGTGTGCTAATCGCAAAAGGGACAATTTGAGCTGCATTTATTACTACTGATTTTTCACATCAATCATAACATGTGACTTTCAATGGAAGTCAAGTGACAACAAGTTTCTTAAATACTCCAGCACTCTCCTAAGTCTTCTAGTTGACTTTTGTCATATCATCATCTAGACATCCAAAATAAAACAAGACAACTCGATGAATGGCCAAGCAAAGAAAAAAAATGGCAGGAAAAGTCAACAATATTAAATAGACAAATGGAAACTTCACAAACTGTAAAAAACAATTTTCATTGGCTGAAATCTCAAAAGAATCAAACCAATAAATGGCTCAGGTCAAAATTCCCATTCATTTAACAGAGACCAGGAAGTTGACTGGGTGGCGGTTGTTCCTGAGAGTCACCTGAGAGAGGGGCAGACCCAGGTTGTCCTAGGGCCTCTCAAGCTTGGTTATGGAAAAAAAAAAAAATCTCATATTTTTTTTTAATTATTATTTTTTTTTTTATTACAGTTGTGTTGAAATATCTGCTAATTTGGTTTGTAATAAATACTAAAATAGTGAAGGTATTTCTTAAAGAATACGTCTATTGACAAACAAAAAATAGCTATTCTAGTTTATTTAAAGAATTTGCAACAAGTTTACTTCAAGCTATGTAAATGTCACTAAAATACATCACGATTAAAAAAAAAAAAAAAAAATTTCAAGATAAGTGCAGGCATGTTAAAGGGTGTCTGAGTGTGTGTGTGTGTGTGTGTGTGTGTGTGTGTGTGGGGGGGTACCCAATAATTTCATCAGCCTCGGCACCCAAAAGGTGTTTGAGATATGCAGATGATTTCAATTTTTCTTTGGATTCCCAATTTTTCTCAGTAGTTGTTTCTGATGATTTTCAATGGAGATCAAGTGACAGCAAGTCTTTTCTTTTCTCCAGCATTCTTCTTAGTAATGTGCCTCAATATGGAGAGTAATAACGAAGCTAGGCTGGATGAACATTATTACTGAATAGTGAGTTTGATCTTCACTGAGTGGTCCTTACAATAATTTACCATTAAATAGCCCAATGAGGGTTGACATGTTACAAAACCAACTACCCAACCCCCCTTACTATTTTATACTATTATGGTATGAATTTTCCCATGAGAACTCTCTGATGACTTTCAATAGAGACCAAGTGAACAAGTCTCTTTAATACACAAAACATTCTCAGTATTCTCACTGATTTTTAATCATGATATCATCTGGATAGTTTCAATTTCTTCTTTGATTTCCTACTCATCCAAACTGTTTGAAAAGAACTAATCCAAGTATGCCAGTAATGATGGGCACAGCTGTTTCATAATTTTATCAATTCATTCACAAATTTGTCTAGTTTTTCCAGTTATATTCTATGATCTGATTGAACAGTTTGCTAACAAATTCTCTTCTCAAATTCTTATTACAATATTATAATTATTATTTTGCAGATATTGAATTATGAAACAATTCTAATCTTTCAGGCAAAACACGCTCAAACAGTCCACGCTGATGCAATTGCATGTATGTGTCCTGTGTTCTATAAACCCCGAAATGAAGGTTAGTCATTTTATTACTTCAGGGTCAGATAAAAAGATTATTTTCTTTAAAACTAAAAACTATCATGTGGAATAGAAATTATATTTGTTTGCAAAGTGATTCTGTGTTGCTCAATATTTTAAAAACTTTCTAAGATATTCAGAATGCTTATAAATTACTAGACAAAAATAAAACATTTAACAAAAACGATTTATTTTCAATAAATTAAAATTCAATTAACAAAAAGAAAAAGTATGCTCATAAAATCTCTGCTTATTTTTGTTTACTACATCATTTATAAGTTTGAATTGGGGTACCTCAACATGGTGAATTGGTTAACAAGCTTGTCTTGCTAGATCAATTACAACTGAATAGTGAGTTCGATATTCACTCAGTGCCCCATACTTCTGGCCTTGTGCCACATCTAAGTTATGCTTAGAAAAATCACCATTTATATGTTTGAATGTGTGTGAATGATTAGGTGGCTTGGTAGTTAATTGAATAGTGGAGATTCATGCTGTCTTAACAGGATGTATCTATAGGTATTTGAGGTTAATATACTTGTGTGTGTTCATAGTGGAGAAATATAATTATAAAAGCATAAATGAAGCGACTGTTGATTGAAGTAAACATGAGTATTCACATTTAAAAAAGAGAAATGTTGTACATAACAGTTCAGAAAGATTCTTGTTGAATATAAAGTTTGTTCAACATTTCTTCTTGGTGATTAAGAATCAAGAGTGAGCAGTCAGATTTTAACTCAATATTATTCTAACATCATCTGATGGTTAAAATAATTCAGTGCAAATTCTCGATTTTTATAGTCTTGGTAAATCAAAATGGTGTCTAACTGCTCATTGATTGGCTTATTCCATTCTATTGTATGATTGGTCAGAAATCATAATTGTTAAAATTCAACTTTCCTTGACATGTGATCTACTTTTTTCAAAAACTTTGTGCCTGTCATAACTGAGAAACCTGTCAGGACGTTATTTGTTTAAAATAAATCAAATAAAAAATAAAAATAATAGAACTCTCCCAGCATACAACAAAAACTGTTTCTGCCAAAAACACAGACATCTTGCCAAAAGATGTTAAATTCAATCTCTTCACCACAAGCCTTGATACAGGCAACATGTGTCTGACTTCTCTCTGAGATATGGCATGTAATAATATGAAGTAACTTCTTCCACTCATTACATGTACCATAAAAAACAATTGTAACCTAAAAAATACATGCAAAAAATATAAATTGTATGGAATTAACACAGAATTTACCAGGCTTTCCTGTTATTTCTGTATGTTTTATTTCTTGTCAAGTATGCTTTTTATGTTTTATGAACACAAGATAAATTTCTGCTGCTATGAGCGATGTTGGATTTACATTTTTTAAGTTAACTGGGAAACATGGAGCCCAAAGAGAGATCCACAAGTGAGAAGTGCAAGAAAAGAAACTGTTAGCAATAGAACTTAAGATTACATCTAGTCAATTCAACTGTGAGACCTTGCTGCCAATCTAGTACTGCACTTAAATTCATAAAGTCTAGGTTCCATAGCAAAGAGTTCATTTGAATTATTACCATGAAAGTACTTATAGAAAAGGCAGAGGGAAGCAATGTTATGACAATGGGAAAGTGACTGAAACTGAGATGCCAGGTCATGGCCAATAACACTTCAGATTCTATGAAGAATCTCTAAATACATAGGAGCACCGGACCATATATGGCAGCAATATTCTAAAACATATCAAGATATTGTGGTCAAAAGAAATTAGCGACTCTGTTGTTGGACGCAATTTCAGTTTGGGAGTTTCTCCCCTCTACACTGGTTTCCCGGTATTTATTATTGTTCTCTGTCTTGTATCCACTTCATTTGTTCGTTCTGTCACTACTGCACGTATTGTATGATGTACCCTGACAGAACTCTTTTCTCCAAGATGGTCTCGATTCACGGAACGAGGCACTTGCCCTCTTTCAGATAGAAGTCCTACACGCCATACCCAGACAAACTCTCTCACTTTCAGACACCGGTCAAAAAACAACTCATTCACTGCTTCCGCCCCTCGACTACATCTGCTACAGATATGCAAGATAAATTCTCCATCAAAGACAAAGTTTGAAATGCTGCCATCAATAGATAATGTTCTTTGTCTTTTAGAATAGGAAAGATGCAATCCGCTTGGATTTTTGGAACTCAGATGAATCATCAATTCTGACCATTATTTCAAAATGCTGACTAACCTGAATTTCCAGATTTAGACTAGAGAAGATTTTTCACTTACAACATTATAATACCAGAACTTATGACAGTTTAAAGACCATGAATCCTATTGGAAATTTTGGCTGGATTAGTCTAAATTTGATATCTTCCTAGTTTGGCATCTTTTTAAGCTGATGAAAAATGGACTATACTGTGGGATGCCCTCTACTGGTGCAGACATTTACAACCCAAAGTAGGCAAGCTCTTGTAAAATGCATAGCCAATGATGATGACTATATGTGGGAAAATAGTGTTTTGTAATTGAAAAAAAATATGTGGGTAGTATAGTGATTGGAATGAGATATCAGAGATCCAACTTCTAATTCCAGGTGAGTTCATGACATTTACTTACATGCAAATAACATTGTGAAAAGTATGAATTTATATCCTCCCAAGTTATGGGTTAAATAGTAGGAAAAAATTATTGTTATTCTCTAAAAATTATTAAAGCAATATTCACTAACAAAAATAAAATTTTAAAAAAAATTCTTAAAATCCAATCGCTATTTGTTTTCTCTCCTTAATGTTTTACTTTTTCTCATATTATTTCATACTTAGTAACCCCGTGTGTTTTCGTAGCTTTACTAACTTGCTTCTGGTGAAATGATTGAAAACAAAGCAAAAAACAAAATTGGTTTCAGCTTTAAATAAGCCATTAAGTGTTGATAAAGATGTAAAAAACAAATCAATTATATATTTGCAATTACACTTATATACAGGGTGCAATGGATAAATTGATGCCATTTTATATTTTTAATTTTGCACTAGCATGTTGTTTCCGATTTTGTCAAATGCACATTACAGTAGGGTCAGTTGGGCACCATCTGTGAGAAAAAGAGCACCATGATGCAATTCACTCCACAGAAATTTGGAAATGGTCTGTTCCACTGCTTGGCATTTGTGCCAGAAGCTCCAATACGAACATTTTAGTGTTTTGGTGTTAATCTGAGGACAGTCCAGAGGAATCGGAAAGAGTTGGATGATATATCCAGTCAACATTATGGTGTTTGGAGTGATCACGAGTGATGGTGACTTTATACCTCCATTCATCTTCTTACAGGGCCTTAGACTCAACACAGAGGCCTACATAACGTGCTTTGAGGAAATAGTGCCACCCTGAGTCAAGAGGGTGGCTGTTGAAAGACCCTATGTCTGGCAACAGGACTCTGCACCATGTCACACAAGCAGGAGAACCCAGTTATGGCTGTCAAACAATTTCTGTGACCACATCACCCCGTACATCTGGCCACCTAACTCCCCAGACAGCAACCCCCTTGATTATTACGTGTGGGATGCAGTTGAGCAAGAGACCAAAAAAACTCCTTGTAGTACCAAAGATGAACTGAAGACAAGGATTATGGTAGCATTCACCAACTTAAACAAGGAGACCATCTAGGAGAGTTGCAGCAGATTCCAAAGTTGTCTGGAGACTGTGGTTGAAGCCAATGGCAATTTTATTGAATAAATTTACTGTTTAGAATTTCAAGATATTTTTGTGTAATTTTGGTAAATATATCTGAGATGTCAGTTTTATTTTCATTTTTGCATAATTTAGATGAAAATTTATCCATCACACCCTATATATATGTCTATATGTCTCTTATATTGGAAACTGTTGCTGCAAATCAGCTTTTCTGGCATAGAACCATTTGGGTAGGGAGAGACTTTTGAGTCCAGACATCAACATTAAGAGGATCAGCAACATGCTGTCAGGAGGGTGCATATATAGATATATATATATATATAGAGAGAGAGAGAGAATAAATGCTGCTTTTTAATTAAACAGTATTAATTTACCAGCCTGAATGTTAGAGAAATTTTGTAGAAAATATGCATTCTCCGACAGAAATTAAACCAGTATCATATATGGAACTGTCATTAAGCCTGACATGCTATGACCATTCAACCATAGAGAACTTCCAGTTAGCAAAGCTTCAATTGCTGCTTTTCAGACTTTATGATGGTTCAATATAGGATTGGTTCAATATAGGATTCAGGTTTAGTTCCTGTTGGATTTCTCAAACATTTAGGCGGGTAAATGTAATTAATTTAAAAAAACAGAGCATTTACTCAAATAAGTGTATCCATAAAATAAAAAAAAATAAAAAAATGTATAAAAAGAAAATATATGAAAATATTTGTCAGATTTAATCCATTTCATATATGTTGTCATTGTTTATATTTGGCCACAATTTCAGAACAGATATGATAGATCGAGAAAAATTGACAAAGGTGCATGTTTAAAAGCAGCAATTTGAGCTTTGCTAACCAGAAGTTCTCTGTGGCTGAATGGTCATATCACATCAGGCACATTATGTGTGTGTGTGTGTATATATATATATTCATCAGGCCTGACATTTGCATTTAAGCATGAAACAGACTGTTGCCTCTGGGTGTTGATTTTAATGTCCACTTTTATATTTATATATATTCTCTATCCCCGATATTGAGCACTTTAACCCAGAAATATAGCATACCTTAAAACTTTTTATCATATATATATATATATATGTGTGTGTGTGTGTGTGTGTATAACAATTACTTAATAGAAATGTAATTCCAATTTGGGTTATTGCTGATTTTGTTGAATATAATGCCCAAAATCCTGACGACAGAGCTACATATAGTGTAATGTTATGTTTTTTAGATCTTATTAAGATAAAACGTGACAAGTATAACATGTAGCTAAAAGTTTCAGGGTAATCAATCACACAAAATAATCCATCTGTGTTGCAACAGAACTGATAATCAGAGAATTAAAATCATTGATTATATTTTGAGTGATGAAAACCATCACACCACACTCAACTACACAGACATATTTTAGTGGGTGGGTGAGGCCTGTTTAGGAAAACATTATTTCTTTACAGTATTTTCATTTACTACTACCACACCTTGTGGAAAGTTTACAAACAATAAGTATTTTTTTTTTTTTTCAAAAAATAAGGTCAACAGTAGCGGCTGTTTCTTACCCAAGGTCAAATGTGAAATCATATAAGACAGATGTGTTCAAATTCTTAGGATGTGTTATATTTCTGTGTAATTAATAAATGTCAAGAGATAACAAATTAATTAGTATGAATAATCAATATTTAATAATTAGCACATCATTAATTTTGATTATAGTTGATTAATTAATTTTGAATAACATCTCTGAGTATTAAGTAATCAAGAAATAATTATTGAAATATGCAGAGTCAAGAATTCAAAATCAAAATTAAGAAAATATGACAACTCCACTGATAGATCTTATAAGTATACTTGTAAGTTTGTATCTTGTAATAGCCATGAATTTTTGCAGTACAAGAATGATCTCCCTTGCACTGAAAATGCCTGCTTGTAAGTGCCTTTATTATGACAATGGTAAACTATTCAAAAATATTTAGAAAGCTCGGAGATAAAAAGATGGACCTTGTAATTCTATAATAACTGGAAAAACACTTAAAGATTTTCATGTGAAAACCTAATAATAATAATAATAAAGAGGCTTAAAATATGTTTTTTATTTTTGTTGCATTCAACTTCACTGCATTCGTTGCAAAGATTTATAAACAGTCCATAGCATCAAACATAAATATTATTCTTTTATGGATGTGTGATCATGGTTCTCCACATCTTCCTGTTCCCTGTCACACTAAAAACAAATATTTGTCAATTACAAAAGAAAACATGTTATATTCTTGTCCACTGTCCCAAGCACTTTCGGCCACTTCTTTAGCCATTTTCAAAGGGGTTTTGTTTTGGTGATGTTAGTTTCTTTTCATGATTTGAATGTCTGAGATGTATTATTCATGTAGTTTTTGAATACTAGTAGGAGTGTTTATTCTATTTGGGCATGGCTGGAATCTGAGTGAATGACTTTCTATTTTAAAAAAAAACATTCAGTACATTGTTCCCTTGTCCATTATATATATATATATATATATTTTTAATTAATTGAGTCTGATAGAAACCTCAACAGAATGCAGAAAGCATTGGACGGCCGTTTATCCCATATTTGGGACTCATCAGCAGTGCCATCCTACCCTGAGAGGTTGAAAAATCAGTTCTTGTCAAAGAGATTCATCACCTAACTGAGTTCTCTGTAACATTGCTTCCTGGAGCCACGACTAGCCACTCTAGAGCATTAGAAGCCGGTTCAAGCAATGATGTACATAGATGGAACAGTGAGGGTAGTCGTGGCTCCAGGGAGCACAGTCCTATGGTTACAGAGAACTCAGTAGAGTTCCACCACGGAATATGTGAGCGAGCGGCGCTATATTGAATCTGATTTGCAATCTCTTTGTCACCGAGGCCCCTTGGAACAGTTGGTATGATGTTTGCTTGACAACCTAACTGTCAGGGTTTCAATTCTCGGTAGTGGATGCACACTGCTGATGAGTCCCAAATATTGAAATCTAAACAGCCGTCCAGTGCTTTCTGCATTCTGTTGAGGTTTCAGACCAATGAGACTTAAATATAATTATTAATTAAATATATATATATAAATATATATATATATATATATATATATATATTTGAATATACAAATATATACACAAACATGACTCATGCATGTATACACACACACATACAGAGAGTAAAAAGAACCTTAAGATATTAGAGGCCATCTCCATTAAAACAAAGCAACCCACACTCAACAAAATTACATTTCAAACCAGTCACAACATATTACAATGCATTTAAACACATGGTTCTAGTGATAACATTTCTTTCTCTCATAGTCATGTTGCTAAAGGAACAAGATTTTCTCAGGCCAGAAAATTTTGGTCAAGTGAGAAATAGAGGAAGAGTTACAGACCAAACGTGATAATTAGAAATAAAGGAATACAGATAATAATTTTACAGTAACATTAAAAATAACACATGTTTTGCATCGGGCACCCATGGGTTGGGTGGAGCATTTATTCCCTGGATGGTGGCAGTATGAGAAGCTGATATGAGGAAGTGGAAGGAAAATGAATACGCCTACTGAAAGGTACTGGTGTGAGGTGTGAGCAAGAGAAGAGGGGAGAACAAGATGGCAGACTGACATGTTTCTACCACCACCACTACCACCCCCTGCAGGGGGAGCTCCCCATATCTGGACATACAAGGGCCAATCAGCAGTACCTGTGGAGAGATTTGATTGGGTGATTCAAAGGCATCCCAAAAACAAGTCAACCGCAACTTGGATTTTGGAGATTAGACTCCATAAATAGCCATCAGAAAGGGAGAATAGAGAAGACAGTCAGACAGAGAGCACAGTCAGTTGAGGCAGACGTGATTCCATTATGCCATGTGATTTGCTGCACAAAGAACTCCAGATTCATGCTTTGTTCCAAGCTATTATCTAACTTGAACAGAGTGTCCTGATGAAATTGCTAAGTGGAAGAATTTAAAGTCTCTATATAATGACAGAGAGGAAGAGAGAAAGAGGAAGGTGAGTGCTTCCTCAGCATTCCGTAATTTGCTGCCTGAAGAATTCTCTGACTTTAAATTTGAAATCTCAACTGACTCAGAAACGAAAATCAAAATGTCATGAAATGAGACCATGAAAGAATGGTCATTAGCCTGCATGTTTGTAGATTCTTATATGAAAAAGTGTTCCTGTATAAACTTCAGTTATATAAACTTTGTTGATTTGACCAACTTTATTTTTTTTTGTCTTATAACATCATCCCACCTGAGCAATATTTCACAACGATTCAATCCTTGCCTACCTTGTGATCAAAACAAACACCCATGGGACAGGGAGAGGCTTGGACCAAAGTGACCAACTTCATGGTTAGCCGCAAGGTTCAATCACGGACACACTGGTGACTGAGGATGAGACAGCATTGTCATGTAGCACAGGGGTCAGGATGCTCCACGGTGTTATAGGCTAATGGTGACTCATTTAATTTTTCTCAAGATATTTTTTGCTCCACATTGTTGTAAACAATTCATTTTTCATTGTCTGTGATTGTTCTTTTCAAAAATGGGTTATTTTTATGTTAAATGATGAAGCACTGAAACATCATAGCAATTCATGTATCCAAATGTTTTCAAATGTCTATAACACTCAATTATTCTGTGTTGTGTCACCTGGATTACTGGATTATTTCTAATCAGTCTCAGTTTGGTCCGCATCAATGACTGCATATCTGCTGGAACATTTTCCAGCTTACAGATCAAAATTTCTACTTCTGAATCTAGTAAACCACTTATAAACAGAAATTTCAGCTATGGCACTATCTCCATAAATGGCACATATCTTTTTTGCTGTTTGTATAGCAGTTTCTTACCTTTCAGAAATTAAGGAACATTAGATAACAAAAATGTATCTAATTTTCCTCCTCCTTTTTAACTTTTGACACAAAAATATTTAAAATTCACAATCTACACACATATCATATAGAAAGGCATATTGGAATATCACCTTTCAGAATATATATCATAAATTTCAGTCATATGTAAACAAACCTTTATTGCAACATAATACATTAATATGATAGATGAATACAGAGAGATGAAGAGGCTGGCATAAATAGATACAAAGAGACTAAAATTCAGAGAACATTAAAATATTAAAAATGCATACAAAATACAATTGCACTGAAAAGATGAGATCAGCTTCACAATCAGTGAATACTTTTTGTTATCTTATGTTAACCTCTAATTTTTATGATGTCTTTCTTCATTAAAAATTTTGTCTTTCAGAGAGTCTGGTTGACTATTTGTCCAAAGTTGCTGCCTGTGCACCTTCCATACCGTTCTATTACTACAGCATTCCTTCCATGACCAATGTCCTTTGTAAGTAGTTATGTGAAATTATATTTTTCTTTTAATCAAATCAAAGTCTGTATTTTTACTTACAATTTCAAATTCATGGTGAATATTTCTATCCAAAGATTACAAATTGAGTATAAATATTTTAATTGTCTATCAAGTTATCTTTTACAAATTGAGCTTTGTTGAACTTTTACAGTCAACTGCTAAATTTATTTCAGTCAACATCTGGCTTAATAAATTCAGCAAAGTAAGCTTTAAATGATTAATTCTCCTTAAAAACAATCAATAAAGCACATTTCATTTAAAATCAGCATCAACATGCTACTATCTTCTTCAGTATTTTCTTTTTCTGTCATGCAAAAGATAAATAAACTGAAATTACAATTTACACTACAACTAACAACTCAGAGTTAACTTTTAAATATTCCAGACTAGCAGTAGAGCCCGATGTTGCCCGGGGATATAACAGTAAGAGATAGATCAAGTATCGACCATCATAAAGACTGAAAAATAAAATTGACAAAGATTATTGTTTAAGGTTGATGGACACGCATGTTTTAATGATTTTTTTTTTTTTTTTTTTGACGAATTGGTCAAACCCAAGTTCAAACAAAAACATTGTTTTCAATCGTTATGAGTCTACCGATTGAATAGAATTTTATTATAAACAATTGTCTTGTAAATGTAATTTTTAAAGCATTCTGAATGTAAAAATAAAGAAAAAAGTGTGCAAGACATTAAGAAACACTACCTGCCAAAAAAAAAAGTGAAGTTTTGTTGAAATCAGTTGAAAAATGTACGAAATCCAATCCCATATATAAATGAACACACACACACACACACAAAAACAACCTGGGTTTTATAATAAGTATAACTCGATATGAGTTGTCCCCCTTTCATTCTTGGGATGCCTCTTAATCGTGTTTTCAAATTGATTTTGTGCAAAAACAATTGTGTTTTTCCAATTTTTGGCGCTGTCAGAACCACTGCAAGGTAATTTTACATAGTCCTGTGAAGTTTTGTTGAAATTGGTTGAAAAATGTAGGAAATCAGATTCAATATATAAACATACAGACACACACACACACACACACATACAACCTGGGTTTTATAATAAGTATGATTTTGTGTTTTTGAAATGTCCATTTCATAAAATGTTTATTATGGAAGGCTAAGTCTAACAAAAAATAGTCATGATAAATAGTTATCTCTTGGCAACCTTCCAGGATTGGAACCAGACCCCCTTTCCTGGGTCAGTTATTCATTGTTTATTTAAATTTTCTTGTTCCCAGACATTCTTTTATAAATTTATAAATAAAAAATTTTCATATTTACTTATTTATAAATTGAGAAATGATAAATATTGCATTGTATGAATTCACATTTTTAGAATTTTGTATATAAACAATCTAATAAATAAATAGTGTTTAATATTTTTGCTGTAAATTCTAAAGAACAAAGAGAATGTATAAATTCACTTTCATGTGTTTAGGTTTTATTAAAATTCTAATCCTCACTTTTTAAAACAACAAACATTGCTGAAGGAGTGAAGGTAGTTAAAATAATAACAGTGTCAAAGGAAAAACTGTCTTTTTGACACACTGTTTTATAGCCAGCACAAAAGTTAAAGATTGACAAAAATTCAACTTCAATGAATAATATAACTATGCATTTATCTCCACTTTATAAGCTCAGTGGAATCACCTCAGCTGCATTTTTCTATTTTATTTTGTAAACTGGAAAATTCATCCAGGGTTTCAGTCTTGGATCAGATGGGTTACAGGCAGAAGCTTTTAGCTTCAATTATAGTCAAATACATTGGATGCCATAAGTGATAATTTGTTTAGCATCTAAATTAAATGTTCATGGCATTTCCATCAGTTGTGACAGACTTGTTCACTAAACTTCTATTCAAATTTAAAGATGCCGTTAATCAGATTAGAATCATTTTTATTGAAAAAGAAAAGAACGTTATTCAAAATAAAAAGGCTGTTATTCAGTGAACAGATACTTTTATTCAATATAGGAATCAATCATAGTCAGGATCATTGAATCAATGCAAACGATCCTTTCCTTAGCTGCATAGTATGAGCTTTGCCAGAGCTACATACAGTTTTGAATTCAAAGTTTTCCTTCTTTTAGACCAGTTGCCAACCAAGGCTATAGAACCTAGTCTGTCCTACTAACCCATATTTGTGGGGAGAAGAGTTGGAGTCATACCTTTCCCAAGAGTAATAACATGTAAGTGAATGGAATGAAGTTGACTGGAATTCAAACTCAGCTCTCTGATTCCTCAATCCAAGCTGCAGTCCAATTACTCTACTATGATACTTTTATTAAAGATAAAAGATACACTTATTCAGAGTAATGAGACCGTTATTCATTTGTATAAAGATGAGTATTTAAAATAATGAAACTATAAAAAAAAAACAAATGTTGATTTTGCTGTTTATCATTCTACTGCCAATTAATCAAAAGTATGTTATACTCTGCTTCAAATTCGATCTCTTTCTGATTCACTCCACATAAAAACCTGTCATCTAGATGTGAACACTACAAAAGTAAATTTAAAAATAGTCATTCATTGCACAGGGGTTTTTGAGCATCACATCCAGCTCACAAAACAAATCCCACAAAATATAAAATAAAATATAAATGTTGAAGCCAATCATGAATATTGCTGCTAAAGCAAAAGAATGACAAAAAAAAGAAGATTTACCCACCCTGACTGCTTCAAAGGACCCACTCACTGACACTCAAAATAGTAGGCAGGCAGTCACAAAGTTCACATACAAATAATTTTATTTTAACAGGTTTCATTTACTTTCTGCTTCACTGGCAATATTTTGTGGTCTTTGTTACTCTTGCAACCAAATGTGATTATATAACAAGCATGTGAAAGAGAAAGATCAAAATTACTAAAGAAAAACTGTCTACAGTCAAAGAGGTTTATTGAACAGGAGAAAAGAAATCTAAGGAAATTTCTCAGATAGGCAATTTTTCAAAAGGTATTAAGGCAATTGTTATTAAAATCTCACCAAACTATTCAGACTTACATAATTTTTGTCAAAATAAGAAATGTTTACAAATAATGATGAAAGACATTGTGGAGCCAAAGAATTAATCCAAAACATGTTGAATCTTGATCCGAACTCAAAAGGAAATTACTCAGAAGTTAAAAGAAGAAGGAATCCAAGTCAGTCAAGTCTTAAGGCTATTATCATTAATGAATTTCAAAGAAAAAAGATTATTTTGACTTTCTAAAAGCAGAAACTCTGATTCCACTCTTAATGCAAAAAGAGAATATGTGTCATCCATTATGAATTTTGGATTTCACCAGTTTTTGTTTTGTCAATGAAATAGAGTTCAATCTACACATGAATCACCACCATGTATATGCATTGCCCAACTGCAAAACATACAAAATCATATCCATCCAATAGTAGATGAAATTGTAGCAATTTATGTGCCATTTCCTTAAAAGGGATTATAGCTCATCAAATTATTGTTGGTGCATTTAATGCCACCTTATTTGTGTCTGTTATTGTCAAGACACTTCTTTTCAAACTCAACAGTGATAATAATGGACAATATGAAATTCAATCACTCAAGTGTCTTGCTAAGTGCAATTAAATTAAATAGGTTGTTAGATTTTTGCCATCTTACAGTTCATTGTTAAACCCAACAGAAGTCATTCACTTCTGTGAAAGCAAAATTTTCTACTAATCCTAATGCTTGACACAATACAGACCAATTAAAGGCTGGATGTTCAGAAGAAAAGCTGAAATACTTTGATTCTCTTGAAATGAGTTTCCAATCAGTCAAGGTGTCAGATTTTTACACTTTTACTCCCTTCTAGAAAAAAAGGTTAATCTTACCAAGAGTTTGAAAGAAGAAAAAATAGTAATATGAAGAATACTATTTGAGACAATACCAAAATCTTCATGATCATAAATTTATCTAATTAGTTTTACTTCTATTGTTAAAAGTGATAGTTTATTTTATATTTACCTGCTTCAGAATTATTATTGTTAAGGGTATTTTTAGTTCTGATCATATCCATAATACTTTGGATCCGCAGATGTAATTATTTTTATATTGTTAAGATTGGATAAATTGTTTTGGATTGTAGATGTTAAGGAATTAGTAGGTAGTATTAAATGACTATTTTTTATATACTTTGTATTATCATTATTGTAAAAAATATCACTGTGTTTCTTGCAGTTGTATAATTTGTGTGCTTTTCTTTTAGCCTTATGCATGAAATAATGAGGATATTGGAGGTTTTTTGATGTGTTTTCTATGTATATTTCTTCTTCAGGTAAATATTGAGGGGTGCTGATTCATAGTGCTCTTAAATAAAATCCTATAATTATTGCAGATTTAATTCTGTTGCAGTAGTGAGAATCATAGTTTCTCATCACTGCAACAGAATTAAAATCTGGTATAACTATCAAAAAAAGATATTTCACAGTTGTAGTTCAGCTCTTTCCTTTGCATACATGGGTGCACAGATTTGCTGACCCACCTGAACATGGTCCTTAATGTTTCAGAGTTTACGGTCAGATCTATCACATTAAAAGATTTAAAAGGTAGCAGCATATGACGGGCGACAAAAATTTAGTATCGTTAAATACTGGTCAATTGAATTTGACTCGGTACTAGGCTATTTTCAGAAAATGATTTCCTAATTCAAGGGATGTAACTCTAAACAACTGGTTACGTCCCTTGAAAGTGATTTTTTTTTTTTTTTTTTTTTTTTTTTGACACGTTCATTCATCTTTCAATCCCGATTTCTGAACGATTTATAATACGACTAAAATATCATGGAAATGTTTATTTTGTTCATTGAAATCTATTTTAGTCTGAACATATTCATTCATCAATTTGTTTCATGAACAAAACTAATCATTTGTGAAAAATATATTTCTAAAACACTTCAAGTATAAACGAAACATCTGTGGGGTTCAGCGTACCCGGATTAAAGGAGAATTTCATACGGGATACCCTGCCCACAAAAT